AGACAGAACTTTGGTCCTGGAGGAGGTATGAGCTGACAGAATCAGGTGTAAGTGGAAGGAGAATATCTTCAGATAGAAATGGAAGGAGATAGGGGCTGGGGAGATAGCTCAGCAGAATAAGTGCTTGCCTGGCAAGTGCTGGGTCCTGAGTTCAACCCCCGGCACCGCCAAAAAAAAGAAAAGAAATGGAAGGAGATGGTGGTGAGTGTAGAGAGAGGTTTGTAGGAAGAAATTTAAAATGTCCTGTTCAGTTAGGCATGGTGGTGCGTGCCTGTGGTTCCAGTGCTTGGGAGGCCGAGGCAGGGAGATTGCTGTGAGCTTGAAGGCAGCCTGCACTACACAGTGAGTTCAAGGCCTGCCTGAAATGCATACATAGCAAGACCCTGCCACAAACACACACTCACTAAGTAAGATGTCCTCTCCTTTAAGTTTCCCTAGAAAGTGGTGGTAGTAGTGGTTGTAGAATTAAGATTGGTTTCATGTTTACCCATTGCTTTGTGAAATAATAGATGTTATTTTTCAGAGTTTTAGGTTTCCAGACAGTGGAATAGGTGGAGGGTTTGTATTTGCCATGCACTCCCTCACGTGTTGGTACCTTGCTTTAGTGGGTCATGGCTACAGGGGAGGGGCTGGTACCATTTCATTACCACTGCTGAGGTTTGGTATGCCCTGGTTCCAGGCTGGACTGATAGAGGAAGACTGTCCACCTTCCTGCATCATAAGAACAGTCCCACAGCCTCCCAAGGATTACAGGCCCAGGCCACCACACCCAGTCTCCATTGCTGTCTCAGCACGCCCCGGTGGTGGGGCTGGCACCAGCAGGGCAGGGGATTGAACCTGGCCCCTGCGCCTGCTTGCACACACTTCATTTATTTATTTATTTACTTATTTATTTTGGCAGAACCGGGGATTGAACTCAGGCCCCTGTGCCTGCCAGGGAAGCACTTACTCCGCTGAGCCATCTCCCCATCCCCAATTGCAGGCACTTTAATCTGCTGAGCTATTTGGCCAGCCCTTAATAGCTCATTTTTAAAAAATCAATAGGCAGGATTTATAAAAATAAAAACTGAAAGGAAAGTAGAGTTGGCAACTATTCTTTCTCTTCCTGCACATAAAGTTATCAGTTAGTTGTAACTTGTGTTTGGTACAATTGTTACATTTGACAGGAATAAACTGATACATTATGGAAGCTTTTAGTTTCTGTTACTAATGTTACAAGTTGTACTTGGTTGACCTGTGGTTTCTTTCTCTTACCCTCCACACCACCAGGTTCCACACTGGATGGTGTGCGCCCTTCTTGCACATTCTCCTACACTGGAAGACATTGAGATTGCAATTTGGGGATAATTAAGAGTAAAGCATTTGTGTGTAGATCCTTGCGTACCGCTTAAGGGTCGTAGGATGAGCAGTGTTTTGCTTATAAGAAGTGAACGCCTGTCTTTCAAAGTGGCCGTACCTGAGGCGTGCCTGCCAGCAGGGACGTGTCAGGACTCGGTGTGGCCAGATGCCTGTTCTGGCCCACTCTGGTCTGGGTGTGCTGCCACCATGTTGCTGTGAGTTGCGGTATTTTGCTTTTTTAACTTTTTAAGAGGTTTTTTTGATGTATTATTTCATATGTTTTAGGTATAGTACAAGTCTCTTTAGATTTGTCTTATTCTCTCTCAAGTTTGGCTTATCCTTTTCTTCTAGCACGTTCTTTCCCAGAACAGAAAATTTTAGTATTAATGAAATCAACTTGCTTTTTTTTTTTTTTTTTTGTAAATCACTCTTTTGATGTTGTAACTAGTCTTCACGAAAGCCAAGTTCCCCTACTTGTTCTTCTGTGTTTTATCTGGTAGTTCTGTGGTTTCGTATTTTATATTTAGATCTTTTATCCATTTAAAAATTATAAGCATTTTATTAGCATGCAATAATTGTGTGTATTTATAGAGTACCATGTACATACATACAGAATTTATTGATCAAATCTAAGTAATTAGCATTTCTACCCTCCTTTGTCCTATCATCCCACTGTGCTGTGGAACCCTAGAGCCTAGTCCTGTGTTCCACTTCCGTTCTCTTTACTGGCTATAACAGGGTTTCCCCTCTCTCTCCCCCCCTCTTCTCTTTCTCTCTCCCTCCCTCCCCTCTCTTCTCTCTCTCTCTCTGTCTGTCTGTCTGTCTGTCTGTCTGTCTATATCTCTCTGTCTCTCTTTAATAGCTGAACAGTATTCCCCTGGGTGCATGTTCTGTGTTCTCTTTGTCTGTTGATGAGCACCCCGCTTGACTTTGTGTCTTGGCTGTATGAACAGTGCTGCAGTGAAAATGGGCAAGTGAGCCTCGCTTTGATATGGTGATTCATTCCTTTGGACATGCCCAGAAGTAGGTAGGGTAGCTGGTGGCTGGCTGATTGGCCAATCTGGTTTTGTTTCTTGAGGAACCTCCATTCTCTAGTCCGTAATGGCTGTAGTCATTTGTGTTTCTGTTGCACTGCCCAGCAGTGTATGAGATACTTTTTTCCATCTTCTTAATAGCATTTTTTAAAATAGTACTGGGATTATATTTCATTATGCATTTGCTGGCACTAATATTTTTTCATGTGTGTGTTGGCAATTTATACTTCTCAAGAAGTGTCTTGGGCTGGTGAGATGGCTCAGTGGTCTAAAGCACCTACTTAGAACAAGCTTAGCAGAGCACAGGGACTGGGGTTCAATCCCCCAGCACCACATGCCAGCCAGCCCCGCCCCCTGGTGGGCTGAGCTGGCCACACACACACACACACACACACACACAAATAAATAAAATTTAAAAATAAATCATTATTTGCAAATGACGTGATACAATTAAAAAAAAAAAGTGTCTTCAGATCATGTGCCCGATTTTTGAGTTTTTAAGTTCTTGGTATATTGTGGGTGTCAGCCTTGGCCAGGTGAGTAGTGGGAGTAGCTGTTTCTGCCCATTCTGCAGGGTGTTCTTTACTGTTGGTGGATTCTTTCAATGTGCAGAAGTTTCTTAGTTTGATAAGCTATAATCTCATTTGTTTCTGTTCCCTGTGCTGGTAGGATTGCCCCCAAAAATCATTGCCAGTTAATCTCTTGAAGTGTTTTCTTATGCTTTCTTCTAGGAGTTAATAGTTTGAAGTCTGCAATTTGGGTCCTAGGGTCTGTGATCCATTTTGAGTTGAGGGGTGCATGCATGCATGTGTGTGTGTGTAGAGTGGGAGATGGGGGTTAAGTTTCTTTTTTTGGAGTATTTTATTTATTTATTGCATTTAGAACATGGGATAAACCACTAGAAAGAATGTATGCAATGTGTTAATTATTGAAACTGTCTTACCAGTTTGGTTTGAAACTGTCTCATTGCTATTTCTCAAAATTATTGAGAAAAAAAAAACATGAGATACAGGGTCTCACTGTGTAGATCAGACTCAGTGATCTTCCTGTTTTCAGCCTTCTAAGTGCTGGGATTATAGGTGCGCGCCCACACCCAGTCTCAGTTGCTGGCTGGGAGGCATGCTGGGTATCAAACCCCATCCCTTTGTCTCCCGAAACAGGCGAAACAGGCGCTTTAATCACTGAACTATCTGGCTGGCCCCCACTGATGCATTTAGAGTTAACTTTTGTGAATATTTCTTCTTGTTTGTGGATATCCAGTTGTACCAGGTTCATTTATTTATTTATTTGGGGGGAGACTGGCTTAGATTGCCTTCTGGTCGTGTGTGGTAGGGCCTGAGGAACGGGATTTGAACCGCAACACCCTGAGGCTGACTGCTTTGCTTAAGCAGGCACTTAAACAACTGAGCTACTGGGCAGGCCCCCCCAGGTTCATTTATTAAAAAGACAGTCTTTTCCTTGTTGAATTACATTTGTTAAGGATCAGTTAAGTCTGTGTTCTCTGTTCTGTTCTGTAAATTTCTCCCCTTTTGCCAGTACCACACCACACTGACTAGCAGTGTGAGCTACTCCCGCTCACCCTGCTCTCGTTTAGGGTTAGGTGCAGCATTTGGCGTCTTCTGCATCTGTGTGGTCGGTCACAAAACAACTCCCAGTCTCACCGACTCCTCCCTGTCTGTTCAGTCTAAGCATGTGCTTTTCTCTCCCCTCGGCTTCAAATAAAAAGGAAAAAGTGCTCTGACCTAATTATTGATCTTAGTGATTCTGTATTAGCATTTTTATGTTGTTTTTAATCTGTTATTTTTATTTTTGTGGTTTTGTTGTGTTTAATGTGTCACCTTCCTGTTGGTGGATCCACCAAGTAGGTTGTGTCCAAGGTTTAGTATTAAATGCTGCCATAGTTTGCATATGTTTGTGGTATAAGAGGAGAAGAGACATTTGTTTCTTAGTTTAAAAAAATATATTTTTTAATGTATTTGGTACAGGGTATTGTTACACAGCCCAGACTCATAATGATCCTCCTGTCTCAGCCTCCTAGTGCTGGGGTTACAGGTGTGCACTACCATGCCCGGTTTCAGTGGCCAGCACCACGTGGGGCCAGCACGGCACGCAGTACTGAGGATCAAATCCCGGTCCTTGCACTTGCCAGGCAGGTGCTTAAACTGCTGAGCCAAGAAGAGGCATTTGTTGTAATGGGATTTAAGATATTACCTCTTTTTTTGTTTTTGTTTTTGTTTGTGGAGACAGGACAGGCTGCCCTTCAGCTCACGATGTAATACGTAGCCCAGGCTGGCCTCAAACTCATGGTGCCTGCTCCTGTGTCACTCAGCCTTCCGAGTATTGAGATCACAGGCATGTGCCACCATGCCCAGTACCTTATTTTTTTAAGTGAGCTTTTTATTATTATTATTATTATTATAAACTAATATAAAATTTAGATTATGCTGAAATACATGCTTATCTATTTGGGCCCCAACCGTCACAGAGAATGACTACTGTTTTCATGGGTGAATTATTTTGTAGTCTTTTTAAAGATCTTTTTGACTTGGGCATCAGGTGTGTTCTGTTGTGTGGGCTTCTGTAGACCAATGCCTGTGATGATGTGCTGCTCCTTTGAACTCTGTGGGCATGAGCGTGGCTCTGTATGTGCCCACAGTGGCTCTTGTGCAGGTATGCAAGGGTGGCTGCACCACTCGCCACACTGTGGTCACTGACAACCAGGCTGCCCACCAGGGAGGGGCTGTGGACCTCAGGCCACCCCCAGGGCAGCTGGAGGCAGAAACCCAGGAATGAGCTTGTTTGCTTGTTTGTTTGTTTATTATGTATTTGGTACAGGGTCTCACTAAACAGCTCAGCTGAGACTCTCAGTGATGCTCCTGTTTCCAGCCTCCCTGGCCCTGGGATTACAGGCATGCACCACCACGCCCAGTCTCTGGAGGCCAGCTGGACAAAAAGCCCAGGGGCAGGGCCGGCCCAGCCCAGCAGGTGGTACTGGGCATCCAACCCTGGTCCCTGCCCAGGTGTTAGTTTAAAATTTGTATGATCCAAAACCAGTCCGTGGGTGCTCAGGAAAGAGGCCCTTCTGGTCTGGGGCCAGGAGTGCCTGTGCATGGGGTCTGTGGAATCTGAGTCTTTAGTATTGGAGGAAATGGACAGACACAGTGCATAGCCAAAAAACACAGGTCCAGTTTAGAAGTTATGGAGTAGAAGAGGTCCCTGGAAAGGATAGAGAGAAGTAATGTAGCCTTCTTATTTATTTATTTATTTGTGTGTGTCCAGCTCAGCCCACCAGGGGGCGGGGCTGGCTGGCATGTGGTGCTGGGGATTGAACTGCCATCCCTGTGCTTTGCTAAGCTTGTTCTAAGTAGGTGCTTTAGACCACTGAGCCATCTCTCCAGCCCTGTAATGTAGCCTTCTTTTGGTACCGGGAATTGAACTCAGGGCTTTATACTTGCCAGACAGGCTTTGTGTTGCTGAGCTATATCCCCATTCCAAGTGACTTTTTTTTTTTTTTTTGTCTTTTAGAGACAGGATTTCACTGTGCAGTTCAGGCTGACCCTGAACTCACTTTGTAATCCAGTCTGGCTTCAAATTCATAGCAGTCTTTCTGCCTTAGCCTCTCAAGTACTGGAATTACAGGTGTGCACCACCATACTTGGCCCTGAATGATTTTGTGTCCTGAACATGCAGTTTGCTTAAAAGTACAGGTTAACAACGTGACTGTCTGTGTGTCTGCCCTGCCCTGCTCTTTGCCTCACTCTAGGAGTGTTCTACACGAGCAGTCTGCACTGTGTAAATTGGTAGCACTGTTAGCACGTGGGAGGCCAGAAACAGCTCGGAGCAGGTGCCGCGCTCCTGCTCATGTCTGCCAGTGGACTGAGGGCAAAGGCAGCAAAAGCTGCCTCCTAGTTGGCGCTCATGTGGGTGCTGCACACGCTGCCACCAGCCCACATGTGGCCTGCAGATATCTGAGCGTTGCTTGTGTGGGAGTGAGCACATGACACAAATTCACTTTTCACACACATTCCAGTTTTGACCATGAAACCTTTTTATTCTAATGAAATTTAATTTGTATTATGTACCTTACCGCTTTAAAAAGAATTTTAAGTCAGTGTCACTATACTTAGTGAAGAATAATTTTCCCCATTTAAAAGTATCTTAATAAATGATATTTGTGAAATGTGACCATCTTTGATTTTCTTAGAAGGTAAGACAGTGTACCTCGCAGAAGAAGCAGAGACATTTGCTGTCACTTACTGCTGACCTGCTGCAGGGTCAGGTAGTGTCACAGCTGTGAGAGATGAGCTTGGCAGAGCCTTCATCTGAGGGTCGAGATCGCTGCTCCCATAGACTCAGCTCATCTGTGAAGCCAGGTCTTCACGAACCCTCTTTATTTAACATGTTTAACTTTCCCACTGATTATCCCAGTTCCTTTTGTAAACCAAGCAGTTTTGTTCAAAATTATGTGTAGTTAAAGATGTCTTTTGCAACAATGGTGGGCTTGTGTGTAACGCAGAGGTCTGACGTGGGCAGCGCCCAGCCCCTCGGCATGTGGCACAGCCCACTGCCCACTCCCTCTGCCTCGTTCTGCCTGTGGCCTCGCAGGACCTCCCCAGGTCCCGGCTTGGGCACGGCAGACAGGGCCGCAGCTGACACAGTCACCGTGGGGCGCTCCTGAGCCTCTGAGCTGAGGCTGGGATCTTGGCGGATTTATTGGGCAGTTTGACTGCATTATTCTTAGAATGGTGTTTGGGCCAAGATATGCTATAACCTTTGGGAGTGTTTTTAAACTTGAAATTAGGACCTTGTTTCCCTGATCTTCTCTCTTTCTCTCTCTTTTTGTATTTAGGAAGAAAAGGCTTCTCTTTTACATCGCACTCAGGAAGAGAGAAGGAAGAGAGAGGTAAGCCAGTTTTGAGGCGCTCCTCATGAATGTGTATCTTCTTCCACAGCACCTGAGAAGCCCGGGTTTTATTAGTGTGTGCTCTCAGGTGTCGCATCAGTGATAGCTGCGTCTTGGGGTGTGCCGGACTTGGCAGGTGGTTGCTCTGGGACGGTGAGAGAAAGGTAGGCAAAGGCTGCTGGGAGGGCGCGCTGGCCGGGGGGGCCTCAGCCCAGATGCCTCCTGGCGGCCCAGACACCTTCTGGAGCAGGGTGTGTCTCCTCCGGCTAGAGGGCCCTGGCCAGAGGAGCCCGCAGGCCACATTCCTTCTTTCCTCCTTTACCTTACACTTTCTGAGGATGCTGTGAAATGGCTGGCTGGCTTATTAGTACTTGTTCTACTTGCTCTTCTAGATAGTTTTTCATTTTATTTTAGCTCTTTTTTTTTTGGTGGAACCGGGAATTGAACTCAGGCCCTTATGCTTGCCAGGGAAGCGCTTATTCTACTGAGCCATCTCCCCGGGCCATTTTAGCTCATTTACTGAGAGTTCGTGGCTGTGTGGGCAGCGAGTAGGGTAGATGAGGGCCTGGTGCATGGTGCAGGTTAGCAGAGGGAGTGTGCCCAGGCCCCTGGGAGACCTGAGGAGAGGGCTGGCTCAAGCAGGTGCTTTGGGAAGTGAGGGAGCGGCCTCTAGCCTCACTGCTACTGGCATTGTGACCAGACATTGGCTGTGTAAGGGCTGCTGTGTGCTGGAGGGCCCTGGCCTCTGCCCAGCAGAGCCATCAGCACTTCTCCCCAAATGCGACAGCCGAGGAGAGCAGTTACTGCCATGTTCTTCATCTGCTCTGTCCCCTTCCCTTCTGAGTCAACTACAGACAGGCTTCACCTTTGCTGGCGTCCTCCGGCTCCCTTGCACATACGTAGCTGCGCTTCAGCCTGGGCATTTCCTCCCACCCAGTTTTGACTTGGACGTACTGGGGGTTGGGCCTGGGGCTGCTTGCATGCTGGGCAAGAGAACTGAGTGTGCCTCCTCCCTCTATTTTAATTTGATTTTGAGTCAGTCTTGGAAAGTGTCACCAGCTGGGTTTTTTGTTTGTTTGTTTTCTCTGTATTTTAGGGAAGGGTCTACAGGGTGTTCAGGGCCTCACTGTTAGATTGAACTCGTAGCGATTCTCCTGTTTACAGCCTCCCAAGAGCTGGGATTACAGGCATGCGCCACCATGCCTAGTCTCAATCCCATCTCAGTGCGCCCCGGGGGTGGGGCCAGCACAGCAGGCCAGGGGATTGAACCCCCCACCCCTGCGCCTCTTATAGGTGCTTTAATCCCCTGAGCTATTTGGGACCGGCCTTACCGGCTGGTTTTGAACATGACATATTCCTATCTCAGCTTCCTCCTGAGCAGCTGGGGTTACAGGTCTGTGCCACATGCCTAGCTCAAACTAACTCTTAATTTATAGGTCATTTCTTTAGTAGTGTCAGATGGTAAAATTTACCCATTGAATGCTTAATCTCAGTCTGTCAAATTTCAGTTCTAGAGTTTTATTTATTTTGTTGTATTTATTTTATTTTATTATTGTTCAGCTCTCTTGTTTTGATTACTTGGACATGATTGTAGATTTTTAAGCAACTGAGTCTTTGGTGGGCTCAGAGAGTGTTCCATGTGGCCCTGGCAGGAAGTGATGAGGGCACCTGTCCCCTGCCCTGGTGGGCCTGCCGTTTCCAGGGTGCCTGAGAGACAGCCCAGCTGAGGCTGCTGTTGGTCCCCGAGAGGGAGGGTGAGGCGTGTGCTCAGAATCCAGTGGTGCAGGTGGCCATGACTGGCTGTGTGGACCAGCATTCTGCCCAGGGTGCCTGTCACAGGACAGTGTGG